TTATGAGTTTCTACATAAGATTTCTTACAAAAATGAAGGTCCATTAACTGTTGTACTTCTGTGGATGGGTGAGTTGATGCTACACTGCTTAATACAAAATAAAATAAGAGTCCATTGCTAAAAATGTTAGTAGGTTGGGAAGCCAGTACTCTAGACCAAAGTTGACAATTCACAGCACAATTCCCATATATTTTTTCACTCATTTAATAGACATTTATGAAACACTTGGTATATGTAAAACAGTGGGATGAATTTGAAAAGATAAACCATGCCCTCAGAGCTTCTAGACTCCTGGGAAGACAGATACATGAACAGTCAGCTAGAATATAGTGTGATCATTATCAGTCAGAGATGTACGTGTGGTGTTTTGGAAACTTATAAATAACAACACCTGAATTCATAAATGGAACAACTGCAATGGGGAAGTCCTCACAGAGGAAATAAAAATTAGACTGAATTCATCAGGCAGACAAGGAACAAAGGAGCATTTGAGACAGCATATGCCAAATTATGAGAGGATAAATGAACCATCAGAGTGCTGAAAATAGATAGAGTTCATGTGAGAAAACAGCTCAGTTGTCTAAAAAGGTAGGTGGGGCAAAGTTGTAAAGGTCCCTGGGTGACACCCTTGCAAGTTGAAAATGTATTTGATATAGCTGGAGAATTGTTGATCATATTAGCATTTTTTTTTTCCTCTCACACTACTTTCCTTCTTCCTTTTTTTCCTTTGCCCATGGTTGTATGTTAGATCTGTAGGTATTCATGGATATTCATTCTGTCTTTTTCTTCATCCGTAAGATACAAGGCATCAATAATTTGTCAAAAAGGTTTTCATCCCCATATTACTTAGCCTCAGTCAAAGTAACATTTTCTCAGAGAAGTCAAGTAACCCAGGGACAATAATTTAATACTACTATGTTACTAAAATTACCAAAAATGATAAGCAGACATAAAACAGACTGCTTTGGAAAACAAATTACAAGTAAAAGTTAATTGAAATTCTTAGATGATTAACTTCAAAATTTGACCTTTATCTTTCTGCCAGTTTCTTACTCCCTCAAATGCAAGTTGAAGTAATTGTTTGGCACTGAATAGCTTAAGGTGGAAATACAAACAGCAAGCTTATGTAGTCATTTCTCCTAAGACCTTCTGATTTTTTTTGTTCTCCTAATCTCCAGTCACTCTTACGATCTTTGACATGGTTGCTTAACTTGCCTCATAGGTTATAACTAGAAATGAACTTATGCTGGAAGAGACTAGAAACACCATTACAGTTCCAGCCTCTTTCATGTTGAGGATGTTGGCTTCATTGAATCATATCCGAGCTGGTAAGAACTGTCCATGTACTATTAAATTCACTTATTATATCTGAAAAACATGTGCTACTTAATATCTATTGAAAGGGGTGTTATATAATTTCCTTAAATCACAAAATGAAGGCAGCTTAATATCTGAACCAGGAATTCTGTGACTGCTTCATCTTAGTACAATAACTTATTTCCTCTTGGACTTAAATTTATCAAAAAGTACCAAAATGAAAGACTTAAAAACTTTCATCACCTGTGCTTTACTTCTCAGAGGAGAGGATCATACAATAAACTGTAAAATATATTAAGTACTGTTTAATGGTGGGTTTGGTCAAAATTAATCACAGCTGAGACAAAAATCAACATGACACATTGCCATTATTGAAAAGGATACTTCAGCATATCTTTTTCAGTTTTTTTGCTTGTTGGTTTTAGATGATAAACTGTGAGGTTCAGTGCCACAGATACACAGAATATGTGTATTACAGATAATGTTAAAGAAAGAATTGAATAATCTATATTCATAACAACAGAAAATATACAGTACTATAAACAAAACATGTTTATCAAACAAAAGCATATTTATCACTTCACTGACTTCATAAATCAAATTTCTTCATAGCTGGAGTATTACCTATCATTTAACGATAATAACAGCCACCATCTGTAAGTACTACAATGTATCAGGCATCATGCCAGACATTTCCAATCTTTCCTCATTCAGCTCCAACCCTTTTACAAAGGTCATTTATAATAACTTAGACCTTCTTAGTCTATAGTTGCCAAAGATTTGTCGCTTGAACAACTTTGCAGTTTTACTCCCTCAGTAGAACTTCATAAACAAAAGTTTTCATTTAATTTATTTCTTAGAAATTGGGTTTACATTCTGAGAGAGATGACTCTGCAGCAGTTGAATAAGTTGGATTTGAGAAAAGAGCTATTGTGCCCTCTTCCTCATTCTGGAAGCCACTGTCAATTATTCTGTTATGTGTGTAAGGAACCCTTGGCCTTACATCCTTATGGCTTGCTTTGGACTCTGCAGAATTCTTTCACCTACTCTGAACTCCCTGATTTAAAGGCCATGACATTTCTTAACCCTCCTTTTCCCTCATATCTTCATTCATAGTGTGACAACCAAAAAAATTTAGGTAAGAAAACTAAACCCTTTGAAATAGGTGGATATTGCTTCCTCATAGTCCACTAATAGGACAGAATAGGTTGTCCAGTGTAGTCAGTGGTGTCGAGGACTCCTGTTCAAGATAATCTACTTAAGAAGAATAGCAACTTCATTTTGTTTTCTCATGAAAGAAAATCGCACAAAAAATAGTGTAACCTTATAGTACCACCCCTTCGAAGCCTTTTATTGGTCAGAAATTCTGCCACTGTGTTTGATTCCTTCATGATCTATGAAGGTCTATTCAAATCTTAACTTACTTATTTTAAAACCATTAACTGAATGCTTTACATAATATCAGCTAAAATCTGTTTAATACAGGTTACAAATCATATACATAATCTCATTACCTTAACACTGAAATGGGGTTAGCATAGAGGGGATTTCATTTCATTCACTTGGACAGTTAGATGGTGGTGTTAACTTCCAATCCAGTGGGAATAGTGTTAACAGGTAACAAAACCTCAGGATTCAGTCTTCTCTTGCTATTGACAGTAGGATTAAACAGTTCTCCCTATATCTAACCTTAACCTTTCCATACATTCTCGTGTTACCTTGGAGAAAAGTTTTCTGTTAGCTTCTTTATATTTCCTAATGTAAATTATCATTTTACATGATAAATATTCATTTATTGGGTGAACCTTCATTAAACTTCTTGTACTAGGCCCTGAGGCTTTAAGATAAGTAGAAATAGCTCCTGGCCGCCCATAGCTCCCAGTCTAGCCTACAAGAAAACAGGCAGTGAACTGAGTGGGAGCATCATTGTAGGGTTTATACAAGAGTATCTGAAATGTGGAGAAAAGAGCTTATAATTCCACCAGTTGGGTGTTTTAAAAAAGTCCAGTAAAACTTTCACAAAGTGGATAGTAATTGTATTGAAATGTACAAGCAGCACCTGTATAGCTGAAGAATTGGGCGGAAGTATCCCAAGCAGAGTGCCAGCCAGGGTAAGTCATGACAGCTCAGAAGGACATGCTGTGCTCATGCACCAGTTTGTAATTGAATGTTCATCTGTATTTAATCTATAAAAACTCTTGGAAGGTGAAGACTGTGTCACTTTCAGTCACCATTGTGTCCTTAGTTCTTAGCACAATTCCTGGAGCATAGCAGATAATTTATTATAAAACTTTTTATAAAAAGAAATACATAGATGCTCAAAAATGGTCCCAGATTCTCTCATGCAGCCTGCCGCCCTCTCCCCTTGTCTCTCCCCTGGTGACATCTGATCTACCTCCTTAGACTCTGACACTCAAGAACAGTTTGAAAACTGACCACGGAAGTAGACCATAATATATTAAGATCTTTAGGATTTTTTCTGCTTACTTTTTATGTTTAGATTACATGAATAGTCAAAATTAATATCCTGTTCCCTCCTTTTATCCCGAAACAAAAATTATCCTCAGTAATGAACTGTTTTTCACATAAGAATTTGTTAAATTTTATGTATTTTGATCAACTGTAAGTAAAAGACATTGAAAAGTGTTTTAATTGTCATACTAAAATAAAAGTATTTCTTTTTTTGTGAATCTCCTGTCTTGTGTTTTCCAGACCGGTTGGAGGGTGACAGATCAGAAGGCTCTGGTCAGGAGAATGAAAACGAGGATGAGGAATAATCAGATCCTATTGGCAAGCACTTAGACGTTCTAAAATTTGTATAAGACATTTACTATATTTTTTCTTTACAGAGCATTAGTGCAATTTTAAGGTTATGATTTTCTGGAGTTTTTTCCTTTTGGGGAGGATAACCTAACATTGGTTTGGAATGATTGTGTGCATGAATTTGGGAGAGTTTGTAAAGCAAAACTAGCAAAATGTTTTTAAAACCTTTTGCCATGAATGCAGAGTGCTAGAAAATGCAAAGTGCAATATTTTCCCTAACCTTCAGATGTGGGAGCTTGGATCAATGTTGAAGAATAATTTTCATTATAGTGAAAATGTTGGTTCAAATAAATTTCTACACTTGCCATTTGCATGTTTGTTGCTTTCTAAGTAAAGAACTTGGTGGTTTTAAGATATCCTGAATTTGACTTTTTATTTAATATCTTCTTACTTTGACCCATGTTTTCTAATTTTTCTGTACATAAGACTCTGTTCTTTTCCTAAATTTAATAACATGTTCTTATTTTGATTTCTGTGTGATAGAAGTGTATAGAAGAGTTTTTTTTTCTTTCTCATTCCAATGTACTTTATCTCCTACCATCATTTCTCATGGTTAGCAGTACATATGGGAGTCAGGCTTCAAACAAAAATGACAGAGCTTCATGGATTTTACATGTTATGTTAACCTAAGCTAGTTTTCGAAGCTCTGGCTTCCTCTCTCTGACTTCTAGATTTCAGCTGAAGTTGTTGGCCATCTAGTCTTCTAAGTTCTTGTCTTCCTTACCTCTGGTGTCCACTTTCACCCAATTTAAGGCATCTGTACTCAGGCCTGTATCTTAGAGGCTATAACCTGAACCTGCTTCTCTGGACCTGACCCCTCCCCCGCCCCACCATGCTCCCTGCCCCCCTCCCATCCTCTCTCCCCTCTCCTAAATTGCCATACTGCTCTTCTCTCCTGCTGGGCTTTGAATGGTCTCCTAGGTATAACCAAGCAAAGCATTCCTGTCCCATGTAGAGACCAGAGAGTGCTCTTCCCCACAGGATTTCTGCAAACCAAAGAATATTTGCTGCTGAGATGGAAGGTTTGATTTTTGGATAGAGAATAAATAACTTTTTAGTTGGGTCAGTGAGTTCAGCTGGACTGTACCATTGAGCAGTTATGGTGAACGCATGTGTCTACACCAGCGGATATGGTCACTGATCATACAGGAAAAGAGAGTCAAGCTTCAGCCAAATGAGGGCACTGCATGATTTCCAGAAAGCGCAGCCTTACTTCCTAGTCCTCTCTTAGTTGTGTGAGGTGCTCAAGCCATCTGACTTCTCTGGGGTTCTCCCCCGCTCTAAAATAAGAGTAACCATAGTAGCTTGAACCATCTATGTCCCAGGGGCCATTAGGACTACATGAAGGATAAAAATCTTTACAAAACAATGACTATGATAAGCATATAATGTGACATTATTTCTTCCATTGTAATAAAACACTAACAGGAATACACTACAGATTGGTGTCAGAGAACTGACAGAGTAAAGACTCCAAGAAGATAGTGGGGTCATGGAGTAACCCCTTTGGCAGGAAAAATACTAGAAGAATATCAAAATAGTATCTGTCCACTCTGGCACAGGATATTGATAGTGGGAGAGTCAGGGTTGAGGGCACAGGGAGTATATGAGAACTCCAAACACTCTACTCAGTTTTGCTGGGAACCCACAACTGCTCTTAAACTGTTATTTAATGTAATGGTATTTGTCAAAGGAATGAAGTCCCCTTCCTTTAGCTGTTTTGCAGTTCTGATGATAGGTGTTTCAGAGGAGCCGAGCAGGCCAGACCACAGTCGAGGAGGCAGCAGAGAGAAAACACCGCATACGGGCAGAGCTGACAAGCCTAGCCACTTTAAGCGTCAGTGTGTGTTCATGGAGAAGGGACCCCAGAAAGTTCAGCACTGGACCCTAGCATTCACATACCTACTTGGCAAAAAAAAATATAACTTCAGTTGTAGCAGGCGAGGGGTTAGATCAGGGGGGTGCACTTTGTGCCCTGAGGTGGTTCTGAGTCTCAGTAGTAACCCCACCCACCTCTGCCTTTGTTTATGGCATGACATTGTTCTTCACTGAACCTCCTTTAAAAACTTGGGTTAACAGTTTTATTTCTTGGTCATGCTGAGAAGTCATTGAACAGTACTCCAGGAATAGAATTGCCTTGGGGAGATTATGACAAATGCTTGGAGGATGTACCCAGGTTGACTGTGGTATGGACACCTCCCCGCCTCATTTTGCTAAAATCATCCCCTTCCTAGTCAGCCCTTCCTCTTTTTAGCCCATGGGAAGGGAGGCTAGAAAGAGGGATATGGCCACAGAAAATTAGGCATAAAGGGGGGACACCCCAAAAAACTCCACAAGTCAAAGAACAAATTCATAATTTCCACAGCTATACACGTACCAAAAGCAAATATTTAATCAGGTAAACAAAACTATTCTAAATACACTTTTGCTTGTTTATAAATACTGATTTACAATAATCCTAAACACTTTTATCTTTTAAAAAAAATCCAAAAACTTAGTGGAATACGTTTCAGGATTACCTTGTTTTTTTGTTTTTGTTTTTGTTTTTTGAAGGATGGTTTTTTTTTTTTTTTTACCACTTTTGCATCAGGGAGCTTCAGCATGGGACTCTCCCTCCAGCCTGTCTCCACCTCTCACTTCAGGTCACTGCGGGGCACACAGACTCCTGTTGTGCCGTAGGCGTGGCCTTGCCAGCCCAAGCCCCATCACCCTCCCCTGGAGTCCTTACCTCTGGGAGAGAGTGATGTGCCTATGATATGACATTTCAAAATGGTGGTGTCAGAAGGAGAAACAAGTGGCTTCTGATTCCTAAACTATTAATATAACTCAGCTCAGAAAAGTGCTTTTGGGGAGAAATGAACACAGCTCTGTGTATTATATGTTCTCCTAAAAATAACACTGAGCAAAACTGTGTTCTTGGTAATCTTGTGCAAATTTGAGTTTGTGCTTGAATTCTTTCTAATGAATCCATTCACATACTTGGGCCTGTCTCCTGGACTCATTTCTGAGGAAGCCCAGCCCAGCCCACCTATTCTCCCGATGGAGGTGACCTGTAACTGTCACTCCACCTCCAGCTGCAAGTCTGCCTCCTTCCTCCTCTCAGTCACACAGCCAAGACCAAGTGAGGTTTGGTCCTCACTGTGGCTCAACTCACTTGGAGGCCTAGGACAGTTCTTTCATTGCCCTCGCCCTTCCTGCATTCTGTGTCCCCTGTCCCCAACCCAGGACCATTGGCTGCCTCTCTTGTACTCACATATGACTGTGACCCCAGCCATTCCCTTTCATCAGCATGACAGCTGTGATTTCCCTGCTCTCCCCACAGGTTTCACCTGGGGTTCTGCCCACATTGTGGGTAGAAATCTGGATTCCTGCCCTGTACCCCTTCTCACCCACTCGAAGGGGCTTAGAGGATCAGAGACTGTGAACACCATAGCCACAGCCAAACTGTGACTGTTTCCAAAGGACAAGGCTGCGCTCAGCTCCCAGGGCACATCCCCATGAGAGCTTCCCTTCCAGGCTCCAAGGGAGGCAAAGGCTGAGCATGTGCTATGATCTGGGCTGCTAAACCAGGCCCCAGGGTTGCAGCATCTTTGATAGCCATTAACAGAAAAGTTTATTTTTCCTCCTTCATGATTCTCGAATTCCAAATGCTACTCAGCCTTTCCTCCCTCCTTTCTATTGTCTTCCCCTTCCTGTCCCAAAGGATGGGCATGCCATACAGCACATAGGATAATCCCCATGGCAACAACCTCCAGCACTTCCTATCTAGGATAACAGTTATCTTTTCAGGATTCTCACTTCCTGTCAGATGCCTGTAAAACATGAATAATACACCGCCCACAGAGTTACTGGGGAGTGTGACGCTTCAACAATAACTCTGCAGCAGGGACCATGCTAGGTGCTTTAATCCACATAATCATCTATGACAGAGGCCCCCTACATCCTGCGTCCCCACGTAGCAAGATTTTAAAGCCTCGATTTACAGGGAGGAAACATGAAGATTAACCTGCCCCAAAACACCCAGCTAATAAATGGCAGCAGCGCGGGATCTGAAGCCAGAATATACCAACCAAAGCCTGCATGGTTGGTTGCCACTATGGGAGAGAAGTATTTGGAAGTGCCTAACTAATACGGAGCACACAGCAGGCATTCAGCACATGCTTGTTCCCCTTGTCCTATTGTAACCACATCACCTTGCTTCCTTCCCAACAGAAGGGTCAGGCTGAAGGCTGAACACATGTTGTAAGAGTGTTCTGGGGTCTGTCCAGAGACCCCTCTCCAGTCTGCAGGTACCTCCAGGACATATTGTCCAAGTGGGAACATTCATACAGTCCAATCAAAACAGGCTAATGAGATTCCCCTCATTGTATGCAAGCTCTTTTTCTTGTTCCCACCCCACCCTAGGGACCTTGGCCTACTACAAACACAGACTCTGGTTGCCCAAGTCTTTGCAGAAACTATACAACAGTACCTTAAAGGAGACGAAGAACATTAATCCAGGATGGCCCTTGTCTTACATTCCTCAACCCACTTCTACAGCTGAGATTTGCTTAAGATCACACAGCTGACCAGTGGCAGCACCTGTGCCCCTTAGTAGGGTCACACACATAAGCCAGCTGGCTGGGTGGCCCTTTGAGAACTGAGGACAGCAGGAGTTCAAAGGAGTGTTCTATGCCGGAAACAAAGCAGCCTTGGGGTTTATCCTTAGGCCTCACTGGGGAACTGCCTGCAGCATCATGGTCACACTGCTGCCACCTAGTGTCCAAGGCACACACTCCCGCCTGGATGCCCCAGGCCGGGGAAGAGGGATGCTGCTGAGCTGTACACTGTGTTGGGGAACTCCAGAGCCCCTCTGGGTTACAAGAGCCTCCAAAACGGCTATCTGGGGCATAGCACAGGACCCTGTCAAGGACAGTCTTGCTGTAAGAAGCAGAGATGTGCATCAGCCCTAACGGTGGTCCTGTCAAAACCAGGGGATACAGGACAGGTACTTCAGTGAGCGGCAGTGTCCCAACATGCCACTGGCCATCTGGCCCCACTTAGGAGGGCCTTGGACTGCCACCGCATGGCGGCATAAAGCTAGGAACCTATGGTTTATTGGGGCCAGTTGAGGTTTTGACCTGCAGGGAGGGCAGATGGCCTCAAAATTTCAGAAATGTGTGAGACCATCTCTTCCTCGCCCCACCCATCTGCTGGTTCTTGCTCTGCTTACTCCCTTCCCTCTTCCTCCCCACCTCCTTCCCCTTTCTGTCTCAGCTGAACTGAGACAAATTTGAATTTCTGAAATATGCAGAATTTGGTTCTAGCTGCCAGACATCCACCAAGGCTTGCTCAAACAGTCCCTCTTCATGGAGCACTAACCCCTTAGTTGGAAATACTTGTCTCCTGGAACTCTGAGCTCTTTCTCTAACCATTACTTGACTTTGTTATTTATGAGCCTCAGTATCCCTTCGGTCTCTCCCTAAAGTAGAGTGACACTCCAGATGCACAGTGTCTGGTGGATGAACAAACCAATCGAGCCAGTGGAAGAAAGGGAAGTGGCGAATCCTCTCGGGAAGTGCAGTATTTCCAGATTAGCTCAGAGTAAATGCTAGTACTTCAGGGCTTGACAGAGGGAACCAGGGCTCAGGACTCTTTCCCAAAGCCCAGCAGAGGGCAGGCCAGGGGAAGTGCTCTCCAACCCCAGATTTCAGGCCAATTTGCTGCACTTTAAAGGCCTAACAGACGCCATCCCAGAGTGTTCCAGCCCAGAGGCAAAGGTCTCTGCCCTGCCCTACCTCTGCTGATCAGGATTGTGGTTTCTTTAGAAACTAGATAAGTGCTAGAAATATATGTGTATGTGTATGTGTATATATATACACATACACATACACATATACACACACACACACACACACACACACACACACACACACACACATATATACACACACATACACACACACAGAAAAAACAAAATGCCCTCAGGTTTAGGAATACCGCTCAGTAGTGAGAGCAGAACCTGTCCCCCTACACATCTTAGCAAATCACATGGGGAAATTGCCTTCTGCACCTGGAAAAGTCATCTGCTCCTTTCCACTCCAGTCTAGAACTTAGGTCTGCAGCTGGCAGACCCGGATTAGTTGGCGAGGAGTTGTTCCATCACAATGAAGGTAGCAAGCCCTGGGCCTTATTAAGTCTTACAAATTGCAGACCAGGGGGCCAGCCAACCTTTGGTCCCCACACAAAGCTGGTGAGACCCAAAAGAAATACCACAAAGGGAATGACTATCCGGAGGAGCTGCCAACTCAGAGTGGTCACTCCTGAATCTCTTCAGTCTACTGTCTGCAGACCACCAGAAATTCTTGAAGGCAGGCTACATCCTGTGCTTAATTTATTTAATCAGGTTAATGGGCAGACACAGGTGACCCAGTGGCTTTGCAAGTCACCACAGCCAGTCCTCCCAACCCACATTTCATCTGTAGTCCCCACACAAAGGGCTTGCTCCTACATTCCTCTATGTGCCTTGCGGGTTGACATTCGATCAGGATTGGACTCGAAATACCCCTCAGAGGCCCACACACCTGGGCCTACAGTGCTTCCAGTGCTCATCACAAACCACATTCAAGGCCACATAAAGTTTGGCCTGTGGGGCCCCTTTTTTCCCCTGCCTCTAGCACATTCAAAGACCATTAAAGATGAGAGTTGGGCATGGTCTTGGAGACCACTCAATTCCCTGTCTAGCTGGTCCAGAGAGGTGCCATATGTCCCAAATGAAAAAGAGGTGGAGCTGGGCCCAGACCCAAGCCACTGACAATGGGTCCTGGGCACTTCCAATTGCTTATTATGCCTCCCCTGGGTTGGAATAAATAGTAACTGTTGCATTTGGGCATATTCCCTGCAAAACTGAAGACCAGCAATTCTAACTGGTCCTTCAGAAATCACAAATAGAATCTCTCCAGCGAGATTTTCTTATGGTAAGGGCATCCCTCCTACAACAGCTCTCCATTTCCCAGCTGTGTGGCAACACCTTCAGGCCCGGTAAGATCGTGGTGTCCTAACCCAAAAGATATTTTTAAATTCTGGAAGTGAAGCATCTGGTACCTGCTTCATTCTTCTATCTTTTATAGTGGTTTCTCCCTTCCTTTGAAGTACCAAAGAATCAGTCAGTAGGGAGGTGGTTGAGGTGGGTCCCCATCCTCAGTAATAGCAGATCCTGCCTGGACCTCTGCCCTTTTGCCTGTGAGCTGCCCTTCCCAGGACTGGCAGGGCAGAGGCCCTGAGGACAAGGTCACAGTCAATATTGGAGGTGTGGGACTAGATGCAGGGTCTCTGCACCTTGCGGGACAGGTTAGTGTAGAACTGCTGGCAGCAAACTGCCTGTGTCACCATGTAGAAGCCCTGGGTGATCTTGCTTCTCAAGACGTGCTGTCCTCAAATGTACTGGGCCCCCCTTCTGGGGCGTCTGGACCACAAGTGGCTGGACCCCTGGATATAGGTCGTGAAGAAGAGGGAACAACCCACAATGTGGTTTCCTTTCAAGGCCTGGACTCCAGTCCCTGCTGTGCCCACCTCCCACAAAGTCACAGCCACACTTCCATCTGCTTTTTGTTGTGCTTTAGACGCCTCTGGTCCCATCACTGGACTTCGAAGCCCACATGTTGCCTCACCACCGACACTGAAGTCACTGGATATAGACATTGTTTTCAGTGTTTTCTCTGGCGGCTGCACACCAGATGTTTCTTCCATGCTCCCAGGGTCCCGGCACAGCCCATCATAGGCATCCTTCCACGGACATCCCCAGAGGCCCTCATCTCTGTTCAGCAGCTAAGATGTTCCCTTCCTCGATGCTCTGCAGCTGCAGCCTCTGGCTCGCCAATGTCCGGCTGCCTCGGCGGCCCCCAAAGCCAGTCCCCGGGACAGACCGCGCTGTCAACAGGACCCCTGGAAGAGCCTCCTCCCCAAATAAGTTGATTTTGGCCTCAGCCTCTATGGCTTTGGCCAAGCTGGCTGCGTAACTGTCCAAGGACTTGTGCACTTCGGCTTTCACGTGAAGGATAGGGTTCTTGGCAGCTTCTAAGGGAGAATGCAGAAGAGAAGTTAGCCAGGGGCCAGGGCCGGCGACAATCACAGGAACATGGCTACCGTCACGTCACTGTCCCAGGAGGAGAGACAAACTGACCTTAGGGACATGGCTTCTGAAGTCAAATTCCTCTAGGCTTGAACCTTTGACTCGCCTACCTGGCACCTGGGAGAAACCTCTGCTATTACTTTATCCAGCCTCAGTCTTCTCACAATAAAGACGATATATACCTCTTCATAAAGTTATTGTGATGTTAAACAATCCTTTCTAAGATGCTTAGCCTACATATGGCCCATTAAAAAGGCTTGATGAAGCCTTGTTGTTACTAATATTCAAGATTTTAAGTCTTTGAAAGTGTTCCTTGGTCTGTCCGCTCCTTGGAACAGTGCAAGTCTACGACTGAGAACGTCCCCGACCCTAAACACTGACACTTTTCTCTCCATACTCCCCCAGAAGTTACCAAAGTCACGGAGAACCTCAGGGTTGGAACATGAAAAGTTCCAGCCCTTCGGGATCAGGACCCTGACAGATATGAACAGGAGAGGAGAGGGTCATCAGTCTCACATCCAGCTTACTGTGGTTATCGGCGCCTGTTTTCCTTTGGACATTTTTGGGGAAACAATTTATCCCCTACTCCTCACATTTGCTGGAGAGCAGGCAACTTCCACCCCACTCTCAAAGAGGAAAAAGAGTGATGGGTCCCCTGCCCTCACCCTGCACAGAGGTTCACTCCGAGGATTGAGGTGGCCTAGCGGCACCTGGCTCTCCCAACCAGCAGAGGGCGCCATCCGCACTGCCACCCAACTAAGGAGGCACAAGGCGCAGGCTTGGTCCTGCATGGGCTGGGCAGGCTGAGGTGGGCTTAGATTCGTTTCTTTACATGGAAGGAATAGATTATAAAGCCCATGATGCTGGCAGGCCGAGCAGCTGTTCCTGAGTTCACTCTGCCAATGAAGGGATGATTTGATCTCTGCCCTTGGTGACTCCCTCTCAGTTGATCCGGACTCAGGGAGAGGGTGGCAGAAGAGCTAGGATTCACTGTAAACCTAAACTCTGACAGGACCCACATTCCCTTTCACTCTTTAGAATAACGCACATCTTCAGTCCCAACCCACGCATCCACCCGCCATGTTGGGGGTTGCCCTCATGTGTGGAACTCAGGGAAAAAGAGATCCTGACATCTGTGAGCAGTGTGAACGGCTCCCTTGTCACTCCTCTAACCAGGTTCCAAGTTCCAAAGTTTCGGAGGCGACCTGGAGCAGGGGGCTGAGCTCAAAACAAGGGGGAGTGGGCAAAGGGAGGGACCGGGGAGCAGAGCTCACCCCCTGCCAGAACTCAAGTGTCCTGCTCAGTTTTAGGGACAACAGACCATCAAGATGTCAGTCTTTGCCTCGCTGGGCAGTTACTTCCATTTTCCACATGAGGAATGTGAGGCTCAGAGGCAAGTTCAGATTTATGAACACACATCATCCATAAAGGAGAGACTGTGGGGGGCACAGAAGCTGTTCCATCCAATTGAGCAACTTTCCTAGGGAGGAAATCTGGGCTGTGAGTGGGGTGTGTGTGTGTGTGTGTGTGTGTGTGTGTGTGTGTGTGGTTTGTCTGTCCAGGCTTGGATGCTGCTTGCTCAGAGAGTTGTACACTAAGGACTCAAGAGAGACCAGCAGGTCTCTGGGAGGCAGCCTGTGGTGGGCAAAGGCGGTGGAGCCCTGACAGGTTCTGGGATGAGGCAGGGCTGAGCCAGGGAATGTTCTTAAGTTCTGCTCCTGCTCCCTATGCTGTCCTCGAATCCATCCGTCATGGAAACCAACCTTTCATTTGCTCCACTTCATCCTCGAATGTCACCGAGCTCCGTCTCTTGGGTGGACAAGTACAGTGGGAGGGGGCGTTGTCATCGGACGTGTAGTCTTCCAGCAGCATCACATCCGTTCCTAAAACCGGGGCAGGATGTGCACGTCGAACCAGCAAAGCCAAGTCTTTCTCTCTGCCTCCTCCCCTGCCCACGCCCAGCGCCTCCCTGTCTGCATTCATTCAAACTCACTATCGGGTACAACTCACCGGCCGCGGCATTTGGCCCCTGTCCCTGCAGATGCCATGGACGCCTCAGGGAAACATGGCAGGTGCGAGGCTTACCTGAGTCCTGAGAGCAGCTGAAGCCGGTGTCCCCAGTGCTGCTGCTGTTCCCCAAGGGCTGTCCGCCTGCCATGAGCGCCGTGAGGTGTGGGGACAGGCCCAGGTCTGCAAGGCAAAGCCAGCACTGACTGCTTGTCTCACGGCCCTTGGCCCTGTCTTCCCAGCCTCCCCTTGGCCTCACCTCCACTCTCCTTGCAAAATGTGCTGTCAACCCCGGAAGAACAGAAGCCCGGGCTGCCCTTCCCTCCATGTTCCCTTGTTCCTGCCCAGGGAGCTGCCTATGATGGGATCCATGGAATCCCCAAAGGGAAACACCCAGGACAACGTCAAAAATAGGTGGGAAGGTGGGAGAAAGGAAATGTGAGGTGAACATGAGGGAGAAGATCTCAGGTTAAATAGAGAGGGGTTTTCAGGTGTGTTTACCTCCTGAAATCCTACTTGAATACCAAAATGTTTTTTTACCCAAATAGCTTTAAGCTTCCATAGGGGAGCAAATGTTTGGAAGCTAAAAGCTGAGAGCCACAGAAAGTGACCTAGAAAAGAACTGATTTGGCAGGAGGCTTATTCCCCCCAAATGCTCAGGAATTGGAGCCCCAGGGATCTCTCCATGAAAAGTCCCTATGGAAAGCCGGGGTACCTCTCCATGACTCTTCCCAGTCCTAGCTCTGGGTGCCAGGCCCCCAAAGCTTGCAGGATGGGGAGAGCATGAACCTGGCCTTAGAGACTCCAGCACAGCTGAGGCAGCAGAGCAAAAACCGAGGGGACAATGAGAGACCATACAGTTAACAGGGAGGCCCCTGCCCCTGCCCCCCTCCCGGCCCCACCCCACCAGGAGAACTATTCCCCAGGGAACCCAAGCAGACTGAAAGAACACCCAAAGACCCTGGGAGTGGGCACCCATGAAGTGGCCCAGAGGACAGCCTGTCCTCAACAAGCCTCGGCGCCACCACGGGGCGTCCTACCGACTTCCCAGTGCCTGTGCTGTTAGTAACCTTGAAGTCCCCAGCAGCGACGGCATGGCCTCGGTCAGCAGACTCGAATTTAAGGAAATGCATTAGCTTGAAAAATAGAGACGGGAAAGGGAGGGAAAGGAAGGAAAGGAAAAGAAAGGATACCAAAGAAGAGACAACACAGGCCACTTAAGAACACACGCAAAGCATCATCGGATTCCTCAGAAAGCTGAGAAAATAATGAATCCACGAACAAAGTCGCTGGAGGCTATAAAAAAGGTTATCCATGGAGGTATCCAAAAGGAGCTCACAGACATTAAAATACAGCACAAAATGTCCAACCCCTGTGATCTCAGGAGGCAGACCTACCGCCGCGTGGATTTAACGGCCTACCATAAAGGACCACCCTGTGTCCTCCCACACACACTCAGAGAGGAACAGACTCCGCTCTTTACTTTCATCCTAATTCTTCTGAGGGTACAGGAGACAGATGTATGCTTTCCTCTCTTCTCCAGGGCCAGGAGCAGAGGACGGCGGGAGCAGGCCCAGGGGCGGTCAGAGCAGGCTGCTCAGAAATGCCTCCTGTGGGTTGCGCGGCCACACTTCTGCAAGGGGCCTACCCTCTTCCTGGGGGCTGGGCCAGAGTAAAACATGGGTCTGGCCTCAGAATCTGACTGGGTCTCAGGAGGAAGCCCGGCATGGAGAGAGGAGCCATGGGGGCATCCACTGCCAACTGGGGTGGCTGAGGCCGCAGTGGGTTTGGACGCCGACTCTGAGGCTGCGGTGAAAGCCAGGAACACGTCCTGGTGGCCACCAGTGGAAGGACTCACTCGAGCCAGACCAATGTGGCTGGGCTAAAAGGTCTGGACACAGGGCAGCCAGGTGGCAGCTCTGCTCCCTGTTGTGTGTTTACCCAGCATTTACCCCAAGAGTGGACTCCTGGGGCACCCCAGGAGTCTTCATATGAAACAGCCTGCTGATGGGGCAAGGCCCAATCCAAGTCCTTGAGGGCACAGGGCACAAAGGGACAGGTCCAGGGATCGGGGTGCCTGTAGCCTTTTTCTATAGCGAAAAAAAACAAAAACAAAAACGGGAGCCCAAGTCTAAGGTGTAATAGGGACTTCTAAGTAGCACCCGGAAGGAACCTGGAAAAGCAAGGCGGGGAAACTCAAAGGCCTCAGAGATGCCTTTCCCTCCCTGAGAGGACGCCTGGCGAGGAGTTTCCTCTGAGTAATGTGTGTCAGGCTGCTTCTCCCCTGGCACCTGGGCAGGCTCTGTCCCTGGGCTGCAGGAATTTCAAGCAGCAGGTGAGAGCAGCATTGATGGGACTGCTGCCTTTGATGCCCGGGCCACCGGCCAAAACTGGGTAGGGCACCCTCGCCCAGTGACCCTGACGGTCAGGGACTGTGGGTGCAAGACCTGCCTGCCCTTTCTCCTGCAGCTCCCTGCAGCTTGGCATCATAAGACCAACTATTAGCACTGAGAGCGCCTTCTAGCACAAAAGCCAGTGCGGAACTCAGGACTGATCTATTCCCCAGGAGGTGGCACTGCTGCCAGGCCGGTCCCAGACAGCCCAGCACCCAGAGTCCTGGGGAGCCATGGGAGTCTGCTAAGGAGACCTCACACGCTGACAGCGGCTGTCCAGCTCCCCAGGGAAAGCCTAGCCTCTGCATCTCTTCAGTCTGGGGCTAACAAGATGAGAAAACCAAAACCCATGGGTTATGGCTGCAACCAGCTGTGTAGGAAACAAATACGACAATGTGTGATAAAACTCCTGGCATCCCGGAATTAGCAGGAAGCTCCAGGTATCTGTGGAATGCCCTCTGCTTTTGCTCATAGGCATGGTTAGGAAAGTTTGTAAATCCATGCACTGACTGCTTTGGTTAAAACTTTCCAGGTAGCCAGACAAATGGGGAGAAATTAAACCAAGACAGCGCCTCCAAGTCATTTCTTGCTGGCTTTGGAAGGAATCTTACCGTCTTTCTCAACCCGTTCTGAACCCTAGCACATTCTCTGGGGAGTGAGGGAGGAGAGCAAGCCCACCTGGTCAGGGTAGGTAGATTTAGGCTTAGGACCCGAGGCTGATCAGGCCCCCAGAGGGTGTTAGACCAGGTTTCATCAGCCCTAGCTCAGCAGAGGCACAGGGAGGGGAGGTAGGAGCCAGGTTCTCTCTCAGGCGCCGAAAAGCAGGCACATTCCCAGCACAGGGTGTGGTGCAGAGGTGGTGGGGGGCACTGCATTCTGCTCTTTCCAAGATTCCTCTGGTGGGGCTGGCCTCTGCCTGGGATCAGACCTTGCCAGGGAAAGACAAGAAGAACCTCAGCATTCTCCCCTAGGGCAGGCCAACAACTCAGAACCCATCATCCGTCCCACACGTCCTCAACCCCAAAACATCCCACAAGATGCTTTTCCCTCAGCAAGAAGGAGCCCGCCAGCAGCCTCAGCCTTGCCAACCCGACCACAGCTGGTGCTTCCAACTGTTCTCTGGGACAATCGCAAGGGACTGGCAGGAGAAGCTTGCCCAAAAAGCAGATGTTTTTTGTAATTGTTCCATATACCTTTTTCCTTCTCTTCTCTCTTTCCTTGTTTTTTTTTCTCCATTTTTAACTTCATGAGAATAGAAAATATAATTTTTTTTGCTTTGAAGATAAGTGATTTTACAAAATCTGAACAAATAGTAAAATGAAAGCAAACCTTAATATACTCCCAGCTCACAGACCATACCTGGAAGAGGACGATCCAGCCTTGGCTTTGCAAGGATCAGGGTGAGAATTTCAGTGATTAAAACACTGGGATACAGAGAGATTCTTCCCCACTGTAGTCAAAAAAAGTCCCAGATTTTCTTCTCTCCAGAAGTCACACTCCATCATCATACATCTGGCAGTGATGTTGGCTTGTTTAATTGTGACATGAATGATTTCCCACCACCACTATCACTGTGTGTTTGTCATTTGTTTCCACCTTCTTGAGAAGGTGTCATAAGAGGAAAAATTAACTCAAGTGGTTTGGCCCAAGTCCTCCAGCAAGAGATTAGCCTTGCTATCCAAACTCTTCCATAAACACAATGCGATACGTGCCCTCAGAACTTCTCTTCCAATAGCTCATCAGGTGACGGTCTCCCTCAAACGTGACTCTAGAAACCCAGCTACTTCCCCACTAGGACAGCATAGTAATAACTGCTGGAGACAATTTCACCAAAAACAGTGTAGGAGGTGAAAGAGAAACAAATATCTGAATAGCCTCAAAGGATCTCCTCAATTGTATTTATTAATTACCATGGGAAAAAAGAGCAATTTTATAGAATCACCTTAACTGCATGAATTGAATGTTTGTGTCGCCCCCAAATTTCATATGTTGAAGTTCAGATACCAACTATGACAGAATTAGGAGGTAGGGTCTTTGGACCCTAGGTCTAGATGAGGTCATGAGGGTGGGCTCCCCCTGAGAGTCTCTCTCTCTCTCTCTCTCTTTCCACACACAGTGAGAAGACAGCCAAGACAGTCCTCACTCAAAACCATCCATGCTGGCACCCTGATCTCAGACTTCTAGTCTCCAGAACTGAGAGAAAATAAATGTCTGTAGTTTAAGCTCCCAGTCTATGCTATTTGTTACTAGCTGCCTGAGCTCACTAAGACATCAACCAGGAAGGAGATCAACGGTAGCATAACCAGTGATGAGACAGAGTGACGTGTGTTCCTGACCTGGTCACTAAGAAGATCACCCTGTAGCCTTCCTGCTAAAAATGTACAATCTTCCCCACCTCCGCTGAACACACATGGAGGTGCACATTCTACAAAACCTCTGAACGGTGATCAACAGACATGTCGATGTCATGGAAGATGAGGAGAGAGCAAAGACTTGTCAAAGGCTGGAGAAGCAAAGAGAGGCGTGATCACTGAATACAAGGTGGGATCCTGGAGCAGAGGATTGTGGGGAAGTGGATGACACGGGAATGAAGTCTTAAGATACATGCACTGTCCAGTGTCACCATCCTAGGCTGGGGAATTATAGGCAAGCAGTATGTTGATACTAGGGGAAGCTGAGGAGATGGGAATTCTCTGCATTATTTTCCCACCTTGTCTCTAAGTCTAAAATTTCTTCAAAACAAACAAAAAAAAAGTTTAAAGAAACTATATTTGATGAGCAATTCCTCAGCCTCATTACGGTGGTGAGGTTATCTCCAGAACTTTATCAGCTCCAAAGAAAGATCAGATGTATCAGATGGGAAACCGCTTTACATGGACAGGATGGGGACAATTCCATGGGTGGGGAAGAGGGGCATACAGGGCTCCCAAGGTTTGGCACTGGCATGTAATGAATTGCTGGGAACAATGCAAGACCACAATGACCCCTGAGGAAAGGCCCACGGTGGAGCATGTCCAAGGGCGAGCAGCTAAGGAGCGAGGGAGCACTTTTTGGAGGACTCTGCTTTAAAAGGCACTGGAAGGAAGGGAATGGCCAAGAGGAGACCAGGGTTGCAGTGCCTGAGCCCTCTTTTCTCGAGGTAAAAGTAATTATACTTTCAAAACAGAAAATGGATTTCTAGACTGGTGACTCCAGCCTTGAGCTGCTGAGCTCCCCAGAGCTGCTTGGAGTCACAGCAGACACTCCGAGCGGTCCCCTACCCAAGGAAACCTGAGCTTTGAGCCTTGAGGCCACGGTCACACTGAACCTCACCCAGGAATGGGTCAGGACAGCTGTGAGGACCACAGGCCGCTCTAGCTGGAGGCTGGGCCTCTTTCTCCAACAAGTTCCCAAGTTACCTGTAATCCTGTTGGAGATGCTGAAGAGCCTCGAAGTCCTCTGCCGTTGCATGAACGGCTCCCGGTAGTACCGATCCCCAAAGCACATGCCCAGTAGCTCCTTGCGAACCGTCTTGTTCCAGAACCCGTAGATCAGGGGGTGGCAGATGGCGCTGGTAAAGGACAGCCACGTAGCCCAGGTCTCCAGGGTTGGGGACACGTAGTTCTTCCCCCAGAGGGCCTCAGAGGTGATGACAACCATGTAGGGGCCCCAGGTGACCATGAAGGCCCCAATGACCACCAGGATGGTGATAAGGGCTTTGCACTGGTTGGCTGAGTAGACCACGCCCTGAAACGCGTTCCTCCTGCTGCCCGAAGACGAGGTGGAGGTGCTGGAGTTCTTCCTCCCAGTCCGCTGGGCTTCCTCCTCCCCGATGACCACAGCGCCACAGTGCACCTTGCGAGCTTTGACCCTGGCCACGCGGAAGATGAAGCCATAGCACACGAGCATGACCAGGAAGGGGAAAAGGGCACACCAGATCTGCCAGAAGGCGGTGTAGCCAGGCTCCCGGTGCCAGGCAGCCACACACATCCACTTGAACTCGTCAAACTCCACCGACGACCAGCCAAACAGGGGTGGCAGACAGCCGATGAGGGAGTGCAGCCAGATGTAGACAAGCACCATCACCGCTCGGTTCCCCGTGATCTTCATGGGGTACACCATGGGGTACAGGACAGCATAGTAGCTAGAAAAAAAGATAAAATGAGGTGAGAGAGACAAGTCAAAAAGAGAGAAGACACATTGGGGTGGGAACACCTGCTTTCCTAGGCAGAGGGCTGTGCTGACCCAGGCCTGGGGTGAATGTTTCTCAAATTAGTACCTCCCAGTGCTACCCAAACAAGTCAGAGACTGTGCCGCGCCCCAGAGACACTTCCTCAGTGAAGAGCCAGATGCCAAGGAGAAAACTCAGCATAAGATGTGTGGCTTCGGGCCTCCCCTGGTGGCGCAGCGGTTGAGCGCTGGGCTGTGAGGCTGCCGCAGCCTCTGTACCACCGGTTCGTTCCCCGGCCGCCGGCGAGGGTCCCACAAAAAAAAAATAAATAAATAAAGATGTGTGGCTTCCAAGAGCCCACCATGTCAGAAGCTATTCACATATTCACATTTGGGGGAAGGGGAGGGGCTAGTCTCGGGGCCTCGGCAGGAGTCCTGAGATGTCACTCATCAAGACATCACTTCTGTGCTGCCAGCATTCCTCCACTCAGAACAGTTTTCAGAGGGGTCATTAGAATGATGTACCATCTGAGGACCACACTGAGGGTTTGTTCGTTCTGTGAACACTTCCACATCTGCCGTGTGCCAAGTGCTATGGACTGAAAAACAGGTGAAGAGATGCAAGGGAGACAACGCATAGCAGAGTGAGAGTCTGGAGTGGCCAGGGCTACACGCAACCCTCACCCCTGTTGAAGCTGTGGGTGTCATCACCCCTGTCACTCAGTGAGGACTTAAAAGCAAACAAAGGATAAATAACCTGCCCCAGATTTGGGGGAGAGACGAGACAGATCCCCAGGCAACTGGACTTTCCAGACCCCAGGGGATTTGCCAAGCAATTTTTAGCCAACCTTCTTGTTCTGGAGTCTGCAGCCTTGGGTGACTGCTCATTCCTCAGCTACTAGGAAGAATGGGGGCCTGGAGACCTAAAGATGCAAATGAGTGGGGTACGTGATCCAGACATCAGGGTGGCTTCCTGGGGGATGACACAGCCCACATCTTAAAAGATGGGAGTTCGATCCCCAGCCAGGGAGCTTCCCACATGACGCAGCAGACCTCTCCTGACTTGCCTGCTGCTCCCCACTCAGCAGTGTATTTCAGTCAGTCTGCCTGTTCTGTTCCCCGCTCTGTCTCTGGGGAATCCTCTCACCCACCCCACTTCTGGCCTGTACCCCAGTTCTTGTATGCATAAATAAATAAATCTTTTTAAAAAAAAAGATGGGAGGCAGTACCTAGGATCAGTTAGGGGAGAAGAAGCCTTGGTGAGTGTGGAGATGGAAGGCAGAGCGGGCTCACCAGGGGCGCTTCAGGGAGTGATGGGGAGCAGGGAGACCAGGCATCACTGAGAGACCAGGGGCCACAGGTGCTGAGCTGGTAGGCAGCTAAGGACTGTCCCTTTACCTGGAACCACGGAATTGAAAGTGACCACTCTCCTTCGCACCCAGACATTTAATCCAAGGGAAATGCTGTTGAAGGAATACCAGCCTCACGCATCACCTGTGAAGCCACCTCCTCCACCAGGACCTACGTGGCACCAGCAGCTCAGGGACAGGGGCTAAAGCCTTAAATACCCACTGCCAGCACCTCGGCATTGTGCTCAAGCTATGTTCTTGCTGAAGGAGCTTCCCAGTGAGCAGTATAGCCAAGGTCTAGCCTGGAAAACCAAGTTTCTGGGTGTGAAGCCCGAGGCAAGGAGCCCAAGGAGTGGTGGGACCCTGTTCGATGAATTCCGGAGTTGACGCATACAACACGGGGTACAGCAATTCAGCAGGTGGCTCTGTGTGAGCGTGGCGTGCTGACAACCTCAGTGCTTCAATGCTTTCATCTGTGTGTGGGGAGTCACGGAACTGGGCAGAGTCCGCCCCACAGATAGAAGAGGCTGGAGCGAGTAAAGACCCGGCCCATGCCCACCCTTGCAATGCAGCTGGGACACGGCCGAGTCTCTGTCTGATCACAGAGTTTTTCTCCTCCTCAGACCAATTCCCATCTTGTTTGTGCTCCTGCCAAGCCACCATGACCCACAGGGGACCAGGGTCATTCTGGGAGAATGAATGGGGGTCATTCTTGGGAGCTCCTCCCCTTGCCACAGGGGCCAGCCCAGACACTGACTTAGGTGACATCATCTTCACATTTCATTTACCAGGTAGGGTGGGGGCACTTCTGGGACTGGGCATTGCACCTGACATCACAGGATGTCAGTTTTTAAAAGAAAACTTTTTTTTTAAAGAAACAGCCAGGGATACCTACTTTTCTCTGTGTGCTGGTCTTCTGACCTCAGAGGACCTCGGTGACAGTGAGCAGAGTGTGGGAGGCCAGGCCTGGGGAATGTCAGCCCTCCCTGCCTCCCCTGACCAGTTTGTAGTCATAAAAATAATTATGATTAATAAGTTGTCCTCTGTAACATATCCTTCTGGCTATTGTCAACACCCCATTATTATTATTTTATGTCAAGACTTTATTGTAACAAACAGTATTTATATCCTTTACTGACTAAGGTCCTGGGCAGGAGCAATTCCAGTGGGATAGGACCATGACCGTGATGGCTCCCAGATGAGCCCCACAGGGACTGGTTTTGGGGGGTTTGGGAGGGTAAATTTACATGGCATTACATTGAAATGCACAAATTCTCAGCTCACCAAGCGATAAATCATCCTCACATCTGCTCAACTGAAGACAAAATGAGTTTATGTTTTCTCCATCATAGATAATAAATTGCTTTTTCAAACTTTTGCCTCTTTTAGGCCTCAGTGCGGGTTTGAAGGAAAACACAAAACAAAAGCAACTCCCTACTCCCCTGCAGGTTAACAGAGGCCAAAGTGAAGGAGCTTTCTTTGCTTTCTGTACAATTAACCATCTTCCAAAGTTCTGGATCTTTTCCCTAACTCATTTCTCAACATGAGTCCATGTACGACCTTAGGTCCCCAAAGAGCTTCCTGTGATGTCAGGTGCAAGGCACATGAGGGCTCCAGATGCTTAGCTCCCCTGCCACGAGGCCTAGCACTTTGATAATGACCCCTGTTTTTAATAAGGTAGTTTTACTAAGGACAAGAACAAAATCTAAGCCGCAGGTGAACCCCTTAACTTACACTGAACAGTTCATGTTTCTTCACAAAAACAAATCACCCCACAATTCTAACTACTTTTGTGAATTAAAGCACCATTTTTAGAGCTAGAAGATCACCCATGCCAGTGTGAAAGCAAATACAAGAACAGTTTTAAATGAACCTGAAGCCCGAGCAGATTCACGGCGAAGCAAGAGGAATCCACATTATGGCAAGAGGAATCCAAGAAGCAAGAGGAATCCACATTATTTTTCCCAGTAGACCTCTTCCCAGGACCAGTGGCATCCCCTATTTCTATCTGACTTGTTTAAGACATTGACACCCCAATGATGAATTTCACTGCCTTTACTGTCTCTTCCTGGGGCTACAAGATGGACTCTTTTGATTCATTTGTCAACCAGTTTGACCGATTTCTTCAGCTAGGGTTTTCAGTTGGGGATGATTCTGTCCCTCTGAGGACAGATGACAATGCTGGAGATACTTGGGGGTGTCACAGCTGGGAAGGTGCTTAGCATCTAGGGCGTAGAGGTCAGGAGTGCTGTTCACCATCCCTGTGTACAGGACAGCACCTCACAACTTGGAATTAACAGGCCCAAATATCAACAGGGATGAGGTGGAGGAATCCTGAGCTGAACTACCTGCTGTTGGACTCTCCCATTTGGAAATGATTAAGAACCTGGCCATTAGCATCTCTGAACTGGGGGTGACATGAACTTGGGTGAGCTCACTTTAGCTCTCAAATCTTTACTTTGCCTGTTTCCAAACTGGAGGTGAACTGGGTTTTTGTGAGCATTTGCTAGAAAAAATGGTGATTAACAGCATCGTGCAGGGCCTGGCAATTGACTATTAAGAAACATATTTTAGTTAATTTCACTTCCACTGCCCTCATTTTTCTCCACTTTGACATTCTGAAAAATGTTCCCATCTCTTTCGTCCATTTCCGTTCTGCTTTTCTTCTCTCCCCGCCTATCTTTTGCTGCTGTCTTCTCTTCCCTCTCTCCTCTATCTCCCTTCCTCCCTCCCTGTCTCTTTCCACTCTCCTTCCCACGCCACCCACACACATACATACACAAGTTGCAGCTTTAGATTCTAACACAGACAGCAAATATGTGACCTCCAACATTACCAAGATCAAATAAAATCAACTCCTTGAAAGGAGGAAGCAGGGGGAGGAGTATATAACAACTTGGTCAAATGATCATTCCTACGATGATCAAATTAACTGGCCCAGTCAATTTGTACTTTTAAACCACAGGAATGACCCATAATAAAAAATAAATTGTGTCTGCCATGAAAATATTCACAGACACCAAATCTTCAGCAGTCTGTATACAGTAGTGCTAAAGCTCTCACCAGAGAACTAAGTCCATCGGGAGGACATGCAGTGCTTTCCACAACCAGGAGGCTTTCCTGACCGTCCACTCCAGCAAGGCAGAAGTCCCTACTCCACCCACAAGTCCATCACTCGGTCACCCTGGTCCAGGCTGGGAGGCCTGGGGGCCTGGCTGCAGTTCTAAGAGACGAATGTGGTGCTGGTGTGCGACATGCGTCTCCTCTTCTGTTTGCAGCCTTTTCCCTTAGTCTGCAGCTGAATCAGAGGCCACCACCTGCAGCACACGCTTTTATTTTCATTCCTTCTGTCTTGCTCCCTCCTTCTGTAGGCCCACAGTACCTTAAACAGACTACGTCTACATAGTCTGTAGACGCGGTCCTAAAATTATTTGATTACTCCTATCTCCCCTACTCTGTGAATTTCTCGGTATTTACCGAGTTGTATCCCCAGCACCTATCGCCCTGCCCCGCATGCACTCAGTGCTCAGTGACTGTGTATCAAATGATGGCAGAGCCTGGTCCCTCCACCGTAGGGGGTTTATCCACTCTCACAAGCCTGGGCCGTCCTACTCACTGTGCCAGACTTAACTCAACGGTCCCTTTTCCCAGAAGCACCCCAAGCCTGCTGGTGGAGCTGGCTATGTGGTTGGTTATCTCTGCTTTGTGTCCACAGCGACAATGGCAGCTCAGCCCCTGCCACCAACCGGGAACCCCTGGAGGTCAAGGTCTGTGTCCTGTGCATATGCCTACCCTACCACTCCAAGGACTGAGCCCCGGGGCCTTTCAGACACATCCAACAAAGACACCAGCGTGAAATAACAAAGCACTGAAAGAGGCAAACCCTCGGTCAGATGAGGCATTTTGACAGCCTGATTTAGGATTTGTTGCAAATGCTGGTGAAAAATGTCACCCTCCCTTATCTAGACCCCAGAATCAAGCAAGCAATTTCCTGCCTCCGCGAGCCACCACTGCAGACAGCTGGCACTATTTACCAAGCATCCATATATAGAGACAGCGCTGTGAGAGACACTTAAAAACCATTTCCCCACATCAGCTCCGATGCTGTTTGTCCTTACTCTGTGTTCCATAGGACCTGGGGCCCAGGAAAAGATATGCAAAAAGTAATGATTTTTTTTAAAGATAGAAATTAAAACAAAAGTGAGATCCATTCCTCCCCACTACCAATAAACTTCCAATTATTTTTTAATGTTATATAGTCAGTCTTGATGGGATTTTGATGACTTTCTAAAGGGCAACTTGCCTTTTTATATATGGAGACTCTTGGAGGTATGTTTACTTTTACCAAAAACCCAATTCCACCAACATACCTATTCTTCAAAAGGGCTATACAAAATAGTAAGCTAATTAGGAACTGTAAATGGATGGAATTCCAATTAACCATTAAAATTCATTCTCTTTGCAAAGAGAGAAAATGCTTCCAACAGCTTATGAAGTGACAGAGCAGGACACTAAACCACAGACCACGAACCTGTTTTTAAAATTAAGTATATACAGTCAAAAATCACTAGAAGCACATATACTAAAAACATAAACTGTAATTGCTTCTGATTGATGGGGTTATGGTATTTCTTTTACTTTATATTTTCTGTAGTACTTTTATTTTTTTAAAAGATTTTTATTTACTTCTGTGTAGAAAAACTAGGGTGCAGTTCAGACGTACGGGAAGGTAAGAGGATTCACCAGACACAGAATGGGGAAAACAATAGGTGGATCTACTGAAATACACTGCTGAGGGGAGTAGAAGGCAAGACAGGAGAGGTCTGCTGCACTATGTGGGTCAGCTCCTTGGCTGGGGCTCGAACTTAAGCCACAGTAGTGATAGTGCTCAGATTTAACCACTACGCCACCAGGGAGGCCCAGTACTTTTATCATTGAGGGAGAAAAAAGATGTTTAGAGAAAGCAACTAGTTTGCTCTGACTTCATTCTATTCACCAGAGACAGAGCATGGTAGGATTCTGGCTGTATGGTGGTCTATGCTCTCGACGGACAGTCCAGCGACCACTCATCAGCTGAAAATTGATGTCTCCAAGGGAACCCAGGGACTTTTGTCATCTAGTGACATTCTCCATGATCAATCCACTGTGTCCCCCTGACTCCCCTGCTAGCTTCCTTCCCAATTCTATCAGTCACCCAGAATCTAAACCCACCCCTCTGCCCTCCAATGAGGAATGAATGAGGAATGAAGTGACCACCGAATCTAATAAAGAAGATGACTTTAGGGGTTGGAGGCCTGTTGGCAAAGCCTGCAAGACTTGCATAACTAAACGGGACAGCATAATGCAGGGATCTCAAAGAGTACCTGCCAGGTGCAGCTGAGGTCATCAGCTGGTTCCTACTATTTGACTCTGCTGATCTCTGGGAAGAGACAACCCAGATGTTTAAAAGCACACAGGCCTCTCTGGGGTGCCCTGTCTTTATCCTCTGGGTTGTCTTCCTCCCCTCTCTCTCCTTACATCCTGGACTGAGCTGTCTTTTAGGGTCCCTGAATTGTGGAGGATGGAGAGGGTTTCCTCACTGGGCTCCACCAGTTCTGTTCTGGTCCAATCAAAACCCCCAGACAGCAGGTTGGGGACCCAGACCTAATACCTTCTCAACATGTCACCTTCCTCAGCGTCTGTTTCTTCATCTGTAAATTGAGAATCAAAGATTTCTAGAGCTTTCTTTAAGTAGGAACCTCTTTCAAAAAAATAAAACTACATGCAATATAGATCAGATAAAACCAGAGGGGTCCGAATGAAGGGACAGAGAAGAGGCAGAACTCTGCTTTCTCATGCTCCTTCAGCAGTCCCCTGACACCCTCCTAGAATTAAAACAACCTAAAGATCATTGACTCAGATGACCTCTAGAGATGCACCCCCCCACCGCCCCCTACCCCCATTCCCTGGCTGTTCCGTTCTCTAAGTCGGTGACACGCTTACCGGTCGATGGCAATGACCCCGAGGGTGAGCATGCTGGCCGAGCTGATGAGCAGGTAGAGGAGGGCGGAGAAGTTGCACCAGACCACACCGAAGATCCATTCCCTTCTGATGGAGCTGGTCACCACAAAGGGTAGCACCAGCACGGACAGCAGGAAGTTGGACAGGGTCAGGCTGAAGACGAACTTGTTGCTCAGGGTGAGGAGGTAGGATTTCTTGTACAAGGTGACCACAATGACCAGGTTGCCCAGGCACACGAAAATGGTGATGATGATGATGGCGATGAACTCAGTGACAATGACGCCCCCTTCACCGGCCTCCTGCTCAGTGAGGTTGCTCAGCTCCTTCCTGTGGCCGAGGGAGGAGTTGAGGCTCATGGTCAGTGCGCCTCGCCTGGGGGTGGGCAGAGCATGCTGGACGACTGGAAAGACAAAGGAAGACCGGGGGACAAGAAATGAGTCAGCAAATCACATCATCTGCACTTTATGGAGCTATGAAAACCCCGGGTTACCCAGAGGGCCCAGGGTCGCTCACCCACCAGGCTCTTACTAGTGGCCTGCTTTCTACAACCAATGCTGTGCAGCTCCCTGGACCCCTGGAGCGATGCAGCCATCGTCCAGTCTAAACCACCCCATCCACTTTCCCAAGGCTGAATGTACTGAATGTACTGAATGTCACAGTACTAGCTCAGGAGTTGATTCCTGGGCTCCTCTCCTAGGGATTCTGGTCCCAGAACTCTGAGTAGCCCAGGAACGTGCACTTTAAATAAGCAGGTAGGTGCAGGGGACAGGTGATTCTGTCACAAGCAGCTCATGGGGGACATGCTGTGGACGGCTGCTGTGAGACCCTGGCAATCCAGGGTGGCCCCTGAACCAGCAGTATCAGCAGCACCTGGAATTTAGTGGAGCTGCCGAATCTCAGGCCTACCACTACCTTACAGGATCAGACCCAGAATTTTAAACCCATTCCCCTTTGACTCATGTGCATATTAAAGTTGATAAGAAAATTCTAGTAATGACTGCCGAGGTCTCTGGGCCAGGCTTGACTAAGCACAGTTCACAATGAAACATGGTTATAGCTCTTATCTGATGTGGTGAAGGAGGGCGAGGGTCCAAGCACAGTGATAAATGGTTAAGTAGAGGCACAGTTTGAGGTCTTGGCCCCAAAATGCCATTCTCTATGAGGTACATTTCCTGCTCTCAGGAAACTGGCTTGGGCTCTTGGCAAAAACTCAAGGTTGACATATTTTAACATTAAATCCTACAGACTAATGTTTCTCCAAATTTTTCATTGACTTTAATCAGCCAAAAATTCCTGCAGATCACTTTCCCCACCTGTGCATGTTCTTCACAAACACAAGATACCAGAAAGAAAGGAAAGATTTGATTTCCATAAATCAGATAAGGCTTCTAGTGCCCGAACTACAGGCACACAGCAGAGCCTTTCCAACTGAGCCTCCCAGCTGCCCAGACATTTTGGTCCACACAGGGAGTAGCAGGGTAAGGAGGCTGCCTCCCTCGTACTGGCAGACCTAAAAGCCAGTTGGAAAGGTTCCCTTTGGAGTGAGCCGACTGCAGTGGGTTATCACCAGGGATCCTAGACCTGCTCTCCTGAGCGGCACTGAAAAGGATTGCAGAATCTAATTCCAACGTGGGATTGTGTGACTTCCCTGTACCAATAAGCAATTTTCAGACATCAGCAAGGTGTCCAAGAGTGCAGCTTAACTCTGACACTATGGAGCCAAAGATAGTATCAGATTCCATAGAAAAAGAGCTCAGTCTCCCAAGACTGTCCTCTTCAGAAGTCAGTTGCAAACCAATCTGTTACTTGAGCTTCTGATCAAATGGCTAGAGACCAAAGGTTCCCAGGAGCCACTTCCTCAGATAGTTATTTTGCTCCTGTCGCTTAAAGAATTCAGAAAAACTGTGTACTCACCAGATCACTTGCTTATTGCATAAGGATATTGTTCAGGAACAGCCCGATGGAAGCTGGGGCAAGGCAAAGGACGGGGAAGGGCACAGGGCTTCCATGCCCTCTCCAGGATGCCACCCAGCATCTCCAAGTGTTCACGAACGCACAAGCCCCTGGAAGCCCCTCCTTTGGGATTTTTAGGGAGGCTTTTTTTTTTAAAGATTTATTTATTTATGCATACAAGAACTGGGGTACAGGCCAGAGGTGTGGGGAGTGAGCAGGTTCACCAGAGACAGAGTGGGGAGCAGAACAGGTGGATTGACAGAAGTACACTGCTGAGGGGAGCAGCAGACCAGTCAGGAGAGGTCTGCTGTGCCATGTGGGTAGCTCCCTGGCCGGGGATCAAACTTGTGCTGCTGCGGACTGCTTCACAGGTTGTTTCTTACCCCCTTGCACCGCCAGAGAGGCCCTTTAGGGAGGCTTTCTTACTCAAGTCATGATTAACTCACTGACTATGATGACTGATTCAGCCCCCAGCCCCTCTCCCCCTCTCTGGGAGGTCTGGGGGGTGGGACTGAAAGCTCTAACCCTCTAATCATGTGGTAGATTCCGGCAACCAGTCCTCATCCTTAGGGGCTTCCAAATGTCACCCATTAACATAACAAAAGGCACCTTTATTCCTCTCAACACTTAAGAAATTCCAAAGATTCTGGGAGTTGTGAGTCAGAAACTGAATGACCACCAAATATATATTTTTCTTATAAATCACAATGTCGCAAGTACCAAATAATTCTAACCCCTCCTCCACTTGACAGACTTTAAATACTTCAAAAGTTACTTGCTCTCCTCTCTTCAGATTAAATCTCCTGAGTTCTTGATAGCATTTCCAGACCCTTTACTAACTCAGACTCCCTGCTTCGGACTTGCTCAGGGATGTGTACGACCCTCTTGATTTGTAGTCCCCAAAAGTGCACATACCATTCTGGATGTGGTCTGGTAAATGTCAAGAACAATGAGGTCATTTTCTCCATGATCAAGATAATCTCCTCCTACTATTCACCCTAAGAATGCATTCCCTTCAGTTACTATGTCATCCTTTTGGGTTTATAAAAGTGAGTGGTCAACTAAAACTCAATTTATACACATGATTCCTGTGAAGGCAGGTGTCCCCCATCTTGAATTGATGGCACGTTTTTAAGTTTAAATACAAAACGTTGTTTCTACTAAATTTTATTTCGTATGTTTTGGTCCCCTTTTCCAGGCTGCTAAAATATTCTGAATTTTGATTCGGTTATGCAATATGTTAGATACTCCAGCTTCCTGCCCTGAATATACTTTATAGGTCCTTCTTCTGTCTATGTAAGGTTATTTCTGGGTTTATCTTTTTATTGTGAGTTCTGGATTTTGTTAACCTTGAAAATAAATTATTAATAGGTATCTCAAAATAAATCCTTAACTGCATGTTATTCCTAACTGCACAAATGATAAGATAACAAGATTTTGAGTCATTAGACAAATGATAGAATGGGAGGAAATATTTACAACTTACATAGCAGATAAAGAACTAATCCTTGTAATTTATAAAGAATTCCTGGGCCTCCCTGGTGGCGCAAGGGGTTAAGACACAAACTGGGAAGCTGTCCCCAGCCTCTGCAGCATGAGTTTGATTCCCCAGGCAGGCCAGGGAGCAACCCATAACGCGCAGCAGACCTCTCCTGATCACCCGATGGTCCCCTCAGCAGTGTACTTCGGTCAGTCTGCCTGTGCTGTTCTCCACTCTGTCTCTGGTGAATCCTCTCACCCCCCACACCTCTGGCCTGTACGCCAGCTCTTGTATGCATAAATAAATAAATCTTAAAAAAAAAAAGAAAAAAAGCTAAGAATTCCTTAAAAATGAAGAGAGAAAAAGGTGAAAAAATAGAAAAATGAGTAAAAGACATAAACAAAAAAATATGCGTCTGTAACTGTAACAGGGTGGTCCCCAGGAAAGGGGGAGGTTCCAGGTTCCCTGCCCCACCCAAATGGAGGGTGGAGCTGAGCAGGAAAAGAAGAAGCTACAGAGGAGACTGAGGAAGGAAGGAAGCAGGATGGAGCCAGAAGGAGACCTGGAGGAGGCGCATGGAGCCTAGAGACACGTGAAGAAACTGTGCTTGCCTTTTGGCCGTGGACTGGGTGACACAGATGTGGGTGAGACCCGTGGGGAGGTGACAATGGCAGCTTTTATCTTGATTTTGATTTTGCTCTTTTCCTTCTGGGCTTGTCTGGTTGTTTCTGACCCTTTTCTGTGGGTCCCCACTGGAAGATGCCTTAGACTTGTGGCAGGCTTTGGGGCCTTGCCCTGGGCCAATCCCATATGGATGGACTTTTACCCACCAGGGGACGGGTAACTTTGGGTGCTTCATTTAGAAACTAGACTCTTTGCCTTTCCTGTATTGTTTCCTAGTTTTATTAAAGTTCCTTCCCATTAAAGTCTCGTATGTTTTGTGTTGATGCGGCGGATGGCAGAGCCCTATATAGAACAGGCAGGTTTGTGGGGTTTGGGCTGCCCCTCTCCCTGCCCTGTAACATAACTATGTGAGGTTATAGATGCTAACTAACTTACTGTGGTCATTATTTTGGGTTATACATTTTTACCAAATCATTGTATTGTATGTCTTAAACTTATACAATAAAGTTATGTTCCATATTATGTTATATGACTGATATGTCAATTATAACTCAGTGAAACAGTGGGGGAAAGACAGAACAAGACCACATAGAAAAATGTATACTGATGGTACTTAAACATGTGAAAAGATGCCAATTTTATTGCAAATAAGAGCAAGCACTTGGGCCTCCCCGGTGGCGCAGCGGTTGAGCGCTGGGTTGCGAAGCTGCCCGCAGCCTCTGCAACGCCAGTTCGATCCCCGGCTGCTCCCCGGCCACCAGAGGAGGGTCCCACATGGCACGCAGACCTCTCCTGCCGCCCGCTGCTCCCCTCAGCAGTGTACTTCGGTCCTTCTGCCTGCTCTGCTCCCTGCTCTGGCTCTGGTGAATTCTCTCACCCTCCCGCGCTTCTGACTGTACCCAGTGCTTGTATAAATAAAACAAACAAACAAACAAATAAATAAATAAAAACATGCCTCTATTAAAAAAAAAAAGAGCAAGCACTTAAAACTACATTGAAGTTCCCTTCAGTCAGTCCAGGAAAAATTCAAAAGCTTGATAAAACTAGGTTGGTGAGACTACTGGGCAATTGGCTGTTAAGAGGGAAAGCAATGTGGAAGAGACCTTTGCAGGGGGATTTGCTCTTCCTATGAAACTACATATGTATGAGCCCTTTGACCTAGCAATTCCAAATCTAGGATTTACCCTGAAGACACAAGTTCATAGTAGGAAATAATAGATGCACTGGTTACTTCGTTCACTGAGGGGATGGTTGTAAGAAGGATCAACGGCTGGGCCAAGTAAAGTTGTGTCATATATTGGATCCACCTGGGTCCGGGTGGCCACAAAGTCCAGTTCCTAAGG